TCCCTTATCATTCAAATTTCCCCCTTGTAGCTACCACATTTTTTTCTTTCTCCTCAGTGCGTTCTGGAGCTTTTCTTCATCTTTCGTTTTTCAGAAATTTTACTGTGGTATATAGATAGCGTCTGCACACGGATGCATTTGAATGTATCTGCCTTGGAATTCATTCAGCTTTGAGAACATTTATCTTAATGATTTCTGCCAATACAGAGGGAGTTTTACTACTGTTTTCTGTAATTGTCATCACCTCTCTCTTTTTCTTAGGACTCTGATCATATGGGCATTAGCTGTTGTTCTGAGACTCCACTACTTGCCTTATATTAGCTTTTTTCTTTTTTATTATATACATATATGTATGTATCCTTTTCTTCTGTTTTATATATAATTGAAAACTTTCCTGTAGAAATTATTATAAGTACTATTTCATTTTTTCTTCTGTTCTTCCATTTTTTCAATGGAGATCATATTTGATGTGTTTGTGTGTGTGTGTGTGTTTCTAATAGGAAGGAACTTCTTTGTACTTTAAACTTGCTGAGAATTTTGGATATAACTTTACCTTTCTTAAAAAATTTAAATGTTTTCCTAATTTCTTTTTGAAGCAATTTGATAGCCCGTTTAAAATGTACACCAGACATTGTTAACATCGCTGTGATCTTGATGCTGATCTTTTTAGTGCATTTTTTGTTTTTATTTTTGTTTGTTTATTTGTTTTGTTTTTTTTTTTGAAACAGGATTTCTCTGCTACGTAACAGGATTTCTCTGCTACGTAACTACGCTGGCTGTCGAGGAAATCGTTCTGTAGAGCAGGCTGTCCTCGAACTCATGGAGATTTCCCTGTCTCTGCCTCCTGAGAATGCTGGGATAAAAGGCGTGCGCCACCACTGCCTGGCTGCCTGCTGTATTTTCATCTAACACATTCCTCCCTTTTTCCCCAATAACAAATGATTTTGTTTTTACACCAACAGACACATTTTTTTTCTATCATGTTGCAGTATCAAGTTTCTTATTTAAACCTTCTAATTTTTGCTGGTTTCTTTTGACACTGCTGTGGTGAAGGAAGAGAGTTTCTCCCTTATTCCCACTAAGTCATCCTCTAAATGGACAGGAGTTCTTTTAAGGTCCTTGTTCTGGCTGTGGCATAGAGACCTGTACCAATTTACTCTAGTATTGGTGATAGAAAGGTCTCGGTACTGCCTCGTACATGATATCAAGTTATGCTGCCAAGGGCAGAAGGGCTCATTGTCCTTGCCAGCTGGTGAAACACTTAGCATTCCACTGAACCTCGCCCTATAATGGGGTCAGAGGGGAGGCTTCCTGTACTGTGGAGGAGGAAGACTGGATTCTCTTTGAGAGATGAGCTTCATTATGTCTTACAAAGGATGAAAGTCTTGGAACTCTTTGGCCTTTTGGGGAACCATTTTGCTTCAAGTGAAGTACCTCACTGACACGGTGTCATGACTTCCAGATGAAGAGAGAAATGAAAATATCACCCCTCCTGTGCTACTGGGTTGTAGCAGTAGGATAGATAAAAGTTAAAGGCTTTATTTTTTATTCAATTATTTTTTTTGTACTTTTTGGTACAAAAAGGATTGATTTGCCAGTTTTTCCTTCTCCTTCCTTATCGTCTTCTTCTCCTCTTCCTCATCCTCCTCCTTCTATTTCTTATCTGTGCCTGTTGATGGTTGGAGATGTCATCTTCCTCACCTAAAAGTCTTACATATATGGCAAAAAAAAAGTTGTACTACTTCGTGGATATCGTAGTTGGTACTTGTGTGTATTTTCTTTGCACCACGCAGGATCTTCTGATATTGCTGTGTGTATTAGGTTTATTATTTTCATTCATACTTTATGAGGAGAATAGGGAAGCATGCATATATATTTCATCTATCTAAAAGCATTTTTCTGACCTCCTGACTCTTAAACAGAAGCCACGGATTCAGACTTTAATATAAATTTGCTTGTTTCGCTGTTTTTCATACTGACAATTTAAAAATTTGCAGCTAAATGCAAAAATGTCCTTTACCGGTTGTGTACGCGCTCTGCCTTGTTTCTTAAGACATCAGGCTTCCCTAAAATGTGACCCATTTCACCTCATTGCATGTAAGTTTCTAACACATATTCTAAGGCGCTACTACTGATAAACCCAACTTACCAATACTGAGCTGAGAAAGAGGAGTGCATTAGGGAAAAGAACACGGGATGGCTAAGGCAAGTATAGAGATAGCCAAACTCAGTGACCCTGAACTGTGAAAACAGGTAATAAACATTTCAGCTCCCACTGTGGGCATGGTTTTATAGAATAAAATACAATCATAAAATGAAAGCATGTAAAAATGTACAACGCATAGCAAGAGCAAGAGAGACCCTTTTGACACAGGTACAATGCAAAGTAGAACAGATAAATAGGGGGATTTTAAGCTCCACTACGTTGATGATATTAAAATGAATACACCTAGCAGTGAAGCAAAACAGAAGCAAATTATGAAATTGAACAATAACTTTCAATCTTCACAACCACCTGTGACTCTGTAGTATCGGTGACACCATCTTATTTTTCTTCAGCAGGATCTGAAGGTGTTCTTTGATCAGTGTCTAATTTGATCAGTGTCTCTGGCCTGTATGAGAACAGTGTCTTCTGGGCATTATCTATCATCTTTGCCATACTGCTTTATGCCTGGCTCTGACTACATAACCAAGCTGAGTCTTTTAATCATCAGAAGAGTGAAACATGCATTTTTATTAAGTTCCATACCACATTCTATGCATTTCCACACTGGGAAACTTACGATAAGACTGTTTTAATTTTTATGAAAGCCCTTGAAAAATAGATATTGTTATTTTCCATTTTGAGTAATTGAGAAGCCAACTTACAAGGGCAAGACAGAGGACACTGCCTCGTTAGCAGTCATGGTTAGAGCGGCATCTGCTAAACGTCAATGACCACGCACTCAAATAGACTAGGCATGAATTCCAAAACCATGCTGAAATTAAGGACAACGTTTTTTTGTTTTGTTTTGCCTTTTATGTATTTTGTTTGTTTGTTTGCCTCTGGAAATTGCATCAGTATAAAGAAAATTGAAATGATTATAGCAAAACAATTTTCCATATTCTTCAAAAAGGTCCTAAGTTCTTGTCAAGTAACTCTCAAAGGTGTTTTTTATCTTGCTGACTGAGACTCCAGGAAACTATATAGTTTATTATCTAAGCAACTAGGGCAAATGAATACCTGTTCCTGGAGTTCATGACAGGTGTGCACTCTTTCTCACTGCCAATTGTTAAACAAAATTTTCTACACTTCAGGCAAAATTTGATAAAGTATATGAAGGGTTCATTTAGGAGGATCCTGGAGATAAAAGGTCTCTGTGAAAAGAGAAAGAGGAATGACTTCATTTCTGGTGCCTCTGGTCCCATGCTGTCTACACTACTGTGCGTACAGCTTAGCCCTTTTGTACACAGAGATGTCCTACTTCGGTGTCTAAATAGCCAGTGAAGAGCAGAGGGCTTGAGAACTGCGGATCTGTTCCCCAAGTATTTCCTGACATATTGAAGAGGCAGTGAGCAACAGTAGCCTGGAGAAAAATCATTACCCTGGCTCTGGGCTTTATTTTCCAGTTTAATTAAAATTTATGTTTGTCCATTCTGTCCAAGGCCTGGTCCTGTGGTCCGTGCTATTTTGCATGGCAAAAGAGATCAGTAAGAACCTATCATTTTGAACTTGGAGTGCCTAGGAGTTTTTCCTCGTTATTCGCTAGGCAGAAGGCTAGTGTTTTTTTAGTGATATTTGGCATAGATTTCCAGGCCAAGGTCCAGTTCATGTGCTAGAGAAGCTCCTTCTTCTCCACTTCCCTTTCACACACACAGGTTTTCTGCATTTTCCCATTCTGCAGTGGGCATCTTGGCACTGGGAGGGTCAGTGTAAATTTAGGCTAATGAACAGGTGGTAATGTGGATACACATCTCTCAGTAATTTCTCTTGATGATGGGTCCCTGGGAAGGTGTGGCTAGCTGTTTTCAGATTCAGATCTCCAACGAGGAGAACACTTATTGGCGATTACTAGAGATTCACTGAAGAAACCAGGGGTGGACTGAGGAGTTGGCTCAGCAGGTAAAACTCCAGCATGGCAAACATGAGGACAAGTTTGGATCTCAAGAAGCTAGAAAAACCTGGACACTGCAGCACTCAACCATAGTCCCAGGATCCAGAGAAATAAGAGGGGGAGCCAAACGAACATGCAGATGCTTATGGGTCACGTAGCCTTGGGGTACAGAACCGAGAAAAAACAGAGGATCAATACCCAAGGCTGTCTTTGACCTCCAAAAATGTACACGGCACGTGTGTAATTGCAATCATCCACACTAATGCACACACACACACACACACACACACACACACACACAAATGGAAGATATGCATTCCATCAACACCTTATATTATTATTCTCCAGGCCCATTGCAGCAATTTACTGTTGGTTGAATAACCTGTTCTCACAGCGAATCATGAATATTTTCAAACGTGTGCCTATGTTCCTTCCTTCTTCCCTCCATCTTCCTTCCTTCTTCCTACTTCTTTCCTTTCTTCCTGTTTCGATGTTTATTTTCTCAGTAGTCCTTCTAATCCAAAACAAACGAACGAACAAACAAACAAACAAAAACCCCAGTAATGAAATACAGCAAAGTCAATCTGGTTTTGATCGACTTCATAACTACATCTCCTACCCCAGTGACAAGCTTATCATGTCCTCCGTGCACATCCAATCAGGAGACGAGGCTTTTTTATTTCTTTCCCTCATTTCTATTAAGTTAGACAATAAGAAAGCAAATGGATCGTCTAGAGTTCTATGTAGACTGATGGTTTAAGTATAAAGCTTTTCCCAAAGAAGTTGTGCACGACTGGTAAGTTTCCCTTTTGTGTTCTCAAATGAGTCTTACCTGAAGACCTCACTGCTTGCAATCCGGGTCTGTTATGTGTTTATTTAAGTATTTTGTTCCTTTTATGCTTCTAGGTGGGTAAAGTGTCAGGTGCCAAGACTCACTTCTGCCCTTCCTGAACGTCGTCGAGTTCTGCTTCACCAGGAATTATGGATGTAAAGGACCGACGCCATCGCTCTTTAACCAGGGGTCGGTGTGGCAAAGAGTGTCGCTACACCAGCTCCTCTCTGGACAGTGAAGACTGCCGTGTGCCCACACAGAAGTCCTATAGCTCCAGTGAGACCCTGAAGGCTTATGACCATGACAGCAGAATGCACTATGGAAACCGAGTGACAGACCTGGTGCACCGGGAATCCGATGAGTTTTCCAGACAAGGTAGGGAACTCTGCCCTTCCCTTTAGGCTCCCGCCCCAATCCTGCCCTGCTCTGTTGAAAGGTGATGACCGAAGTTGATTAAAAACTGCCAGTAAGGCAAGTTAGCAAGCCATTACCCAACTACTGCTTAGTTGAAAACTAACTTTTGCCCTATCTAATTCCTGTGGGTGCAAAGCTCCTTTTTATCATCATGGACACTGGATTCCTCAACAATATGTTCATTGCTGTCAGAGAACTTCCATGCTAGGTTTCCTGAGATGTGACTTGGAGCATGCCCTTGGCTTCATAAAATGTATTCCCGAGACAGTAGAAAATCTCTGACTGGTTAATCTGGTGATTTCACACTCTTCTTTGAAGCTTTCTCTCAACCTCCAAGACCTCATTTTGACGGCTCCATATATTGGCATAGTCAATCATATCCACTCTGAATAAATGGTGTAGATGTATTAAAAGACATTTCAGAACTTCCTGGGTAAAATAATAGTAAATTATACACCCCTACACACACACACACACACACACACACGCACATGCACACACACACATGATGAGATGCTTTGTCTGAGTTCTATGTTTTTATTTTCATGTTTCAAATAGTAAGTGGGGGCAGAAACATTTTAATCCAGTTCTACCAACTGTTGTTTCTCCCTTATGGAACCTCACATTTTATTTTATTGTAATGCCTTGGTTTACTTCAGAAGACTTCTTTCTCTCAGACACAAGCAGTTGGCATTCCCTTCATGTCCGGCATCGAGGCAGAATTCCGCAGTCACTTGTCTAGGCATGTGTGTGGACCGAAGGCGAGCAGTGTGGAGGTCAGAGTGTAAGTCCCACTTGCCCTGCACCATGCTTTCCGAATCCCAGCCAAGCGTGCTCTGGTCACGTTAATGGCGCTGCGAAACTAAAAGTGAATGCACAGGCTGCAATGGCTGCGCTAGGTAGGGTCATATAGCTGGCACCCGGGGGCTTGGCCCTGTCCGACAGGGTTATTGCATCATTTGTTTTATAATACTGATTCGTATTTCTTTTTCTGTGTCCTCAGCAGCAAATAATGGGATAGATTTAACTCATGAAGAGATAACATGGGATCCATTCCTGGCTTTTTAGCTTCCTTACATCCTTACATTTTACTTTTTTTATTTTATATACATATACGTAATTAAGTCATATAGTGATAAATGGACAGGCCAGATGTTGTTCTAAAAATAAGTTCAGATACTCCCATTTTATCTTAGCTCCTGTTATATTTAACAAAATATTTTTGGGAAATCAATAAATAGGCAAAATTGCTTTTCTTGTCATCGTAGACCTTTGTAGGAAAACATTTTTATTTGATCTTTAGTCTTATTTTCTCTGCCTCATCTTCATGAGAATGACAAGGCCTGATCCTGCAGGAGAAAGCAGGGCTGTCTGAAGACTGCTCTGGATTAATTGTCTTTGATCTGTGAGTGGCTCCAGCATTTGGTGTCTTTGACTAAACTCGCAGCTGACCCCGCGCAGCAGACAGTAGGAAGTAGAAGGCACATAGGAAGGAGTCCTGGTTTCATTAATGAGCAGAGAGCTCGCATTACCAACATGGAGAAATTAGGATGCCTGCCACCATGTCCAAGGGCATCGCTAACATGAAGTCAGATCTTTGGAAGTGCACCACACACACAGGCACGCAGTGTGGTTGAAAGCTTTTGTTTCCTGTTTTGGTTTTGGTGTTAATTTTGTACCACTCACGGTAAACAGTTTTACGGGCTGTGCTTCTAGACGGAAATACACGCTCTTGCTCCTCAGCCCTTTGGAAGGCATGGCCCGGCTTCTGGATCATGCACTAAACGGAAGCTTCCAGATTATTGTTGAACTGAAGATTTGCTCGTCACCCTTTCCTTTATTAATATTTGCATCACACAAAACCAAGTGCTGGGATTTTATTTTCCAGTGTACTTTTTTTCATTCTTCTTGCTTCATCACGGACCCCCTCCGCCGCTGATAATAATGGACGTAGCTTGGCTGTATCAGGCTCATGGCTTTGCAATTAACGATTCACACATGCCGAGTGTTGTTATTGAGTCCATATTTGTTTGCGTAATGTGTTTGCATGAATTAAAAACTGTGCAGTCCAAAAGTAGAAATGAAAAGGCATTGGGAAGTATTTGCATATGTAAGTGCAATTCCTTCTGAAGGCGTCTATGAATTTATGCATGAAAATGTAGTCAGAGGCTGAGTGGATCTACTTTGATGGGTTCTAAAATTGAACTCTGCAGGAAGTAAATAAGCGCATATTTAAGGAGGGGAGTATCTGGAGATACAATCTGGCTAGTGGCACGTGCCGCTTGAGACTGAACCGCCACAGAGAGGGTTAAAATAAATTTTAGACTCGGTAATAACAATAATTTTTTTAAATGTCATGCGTTTTACAGTTTATTTTCGTATTCATAAAATCAAAGTGCAGGATCATCTCGGTACTTATTAGCCTAGAGGTACCTTAGCGAGGCTCAGAGTGGGATCAGCTCCTGCGGTCTCTTTATTTAAAACCCAAGACACTGATCATAAAGCAAACACGCTTCTCACATACAAGCAAGTTTGGCAAACACACTGAGATGGTTCTCCAGATGCTCCCATGGAAAAGAACTGCCATCCAATCAAAGAGAGGTGGGGTTCAGGGTCCTTCCTTATCCAGCTCAGCAAGCTGGCCGCTGAAGTATCAAACAAGACAACAGGCCATATCCCATCAGGCGAAGTGGACCAGGCATCCCCAGCAGAACTGTCAACCTGCTTGGATTTGGTTTCCAACAAAGATGCCTTCTCTGTCTTCTTCTAATGCTATATCACTCCTCTACATTAGAGACACGTAAATCTCCTGCCTGCCTTCCACCATGGTGTATTCTTCTAGCGCGAAGAGAAAGCATTGCTGACCTTAGGTCTTGTGGCCACTGGAGTAATTAGTAATTAATAAATGGCTAATCCTTCGCTAAATAGCATTCAAGTAGTTCTGGAGTTAACACGCATGACAAAGTAAGTAAGCAGCAAGCAGCCTGACACCTGGTTGCCCCAACCCATTGCCTCTCAGAAAACAGGTTCTACTTTGAATAATGGAGGTCGGCCAAGTTCCCAGGCAGTTTGCGTGCGCTTGTTCTTTTGGACTGTGAAACTAGGATGCAGAGCAAGGCGATATGCAGCTGTAGCTGTTCTGCATGGCTTGGGAGCCCAACCTCAGACCTGAATTCATTCTGCTCCTGCATTTCTATGTGGCTGCACCTCTTGTCTGTGTTCTCTGCGCCACAAGGCTGAGTACATTGTTTTAGTGAACATTCAACAGCAAGGCGAGGAAAAGAATTCTACCAGTCCTTGAATACATTGTAGCAAACGCCAATCCACGCATTTGGATCAGAGCTCGCAACAATGTTGGAAGGGTGGCTACTGTTGTGTGCCCCCCCTTTTTTTTTTACAGATTAGGAGAGTGTGTCATGGAAGGATTAACTGAATTATCCAAGATCAAGAATATTAAGAAACGGAGAGGGGTTTCATGCACAGTGAGTCACATTCAAGAACTATGAGTTAACACGCAAGCAAAACCAAGTCATTAACCCTTTCAAATCTGGTCGGAAGGAAGATGAACCTTCAGTTTCCAAGCATTTCTGGAAGAGCCCTTTGAAACTTTTCTTAATCATAGAGGAAGGCATTACTACCTCCAGCTCCAGTCCTCATGGCCTGTAACCCTGATGTGCAATTCTCTTCTACAAACACCACCCTTTTGGACTTCCTGGTATTGATCCCTCCTACGACACCTTTACACGAAATGAGCCCTAGAAAACTTTCTAGGAAGGAAGCAGCATTGAGCCCCCAGCAAAGGTTCCCTAATTCCTTGTAGTCCTCACCCATGGCCCCACCTCTCAACCCAAAGTGGTAACCAAGAACATTGTTAGTTTCAGATACAAAGGGTATTGGTTACCTAAGCAGAACCTGATGCTTTCTGTGTCAAACTCTGCCCAGTGGACCACAAGATTCACCCTGGCTTCTCTTCCTCAAAAAGCCTTGCCTTTTTGAGGCAATAGCTCAAGTTAATAGATCAAGTCTCTTAAGAGGGGGCCAAGATTGAGTTCTTCTATGTATCTCAAGCTCTTTGGGTCAAGGTTAGATAAAGAATTGGGGAAAATTGGATTCTTGAAAGCTTACTTTTATTAGCTCAGTCAGTTTGTAAAAAGGCAATGTATATCACTAACACTTTAATGTTCTTTAAAAATGTGTAAACACACACATGCACGTTTTAAGCTAAGTTTATCTGAGCATTTCATAAATGATACTCTCACTTCTGATATCTTTAAAATAATTTGTGCAATAAATTTTGCTCTGCGCAATTTGGCATAACACAAATGTAGCCCATGTTAATGAACCAGAAATTCACGATCCACTTGCCGGCTAGAGACACTTATCTGTATTGATTCAGCTGACATTACATAGTGAAGGTACTTTGGAAACCTTGGTTATGTGGGAAATGTCTACAGATTTCTGTCCACAAATCTCTCCAACTTTCTTCTGTGGATATCCTAAAATAGTCGTTGTGAAATGGAAAACCCCAGCACTTTAATTTAGCTATAGAGAACACCTTTAGGTTTTAATGAGACAGGAGGGTTTGGTTACTATTTGCAGGACTAAAATGTACCTTGAAACAATTGCTTTAAACATATTCTACCATCTCTAGGTAATACCTCTTTTATCAGGCAGCAGAGAATGACATAGCATTTCTGTTTCTTCGGTTGTCTTGCTGTTTTACAAGGTCTATAGGACTCTATGAGGAAGCCTCTATGACCTTTCAATATTATATGATTTCCAGTGTCCTGCTTGACCAACTCCAATTCTTATTCTTTCGTGGAAGAGGTTTGTGGTAAAACAATATAGAATGCAGAACCTCTGCTTTACAGCTTAGCATAGCTCAATGCTATGTCTAGTCCCCACTAACTTCCATCAGCCTGAAAAGTGGCTGGTACTCTTTTTCATTCTGGAACGTTTCT